AAAAGGTCAGTCTGTCCTTGGGACCAGCCTTGCATGTCAGCTTATGGCTTCTCAAGGAAGCAAGAGAAGGTGTGGGAAGAAGCTGTATTTCCATGGCATAGGGTCCCACCAGGCAGGAGCACTGCTTTAGGCTTGGTGCACCAGCAGTCCTCAAATATGCCTAGATGTCCTACTGGCCCCTGGAAGGATATAAATCCCAGACTTCAGGCTACCCAAGGATACTGCCTACACCTGACACAATAGTCCTCCTGAGAATGTGCAAAGGCTCTCAGCTTGGGGCTGTGGGACTGTAAATAGCAGACTAGGGCTGGTGGCTGCCGCCACTTCAGACAACAGGTACTGAGCGACCTGGCTTTATCTATCTTCTCTTTTCCTTCTCTATTTAGCTTAGAATGGAGCTGGAAGCTTCAGATTACAGTATGATGGGAGTGATGGACCCATGGCAGAAGTGGAGGGTTACTGAGGGATAAAAAGTATAGGTTAGGGGCCTACAAGGGTTGTTCATGGTTGCCTTCCTTTCATTTCCAGAACATGAGATTTCAGGTGATTTGGGTCGGCCACATGGAAGGAGCTGGGTATGCAATTTGGGGTGGGATGGGTTTACTAGGGGTGACTAGAAAAGAAAGCAGACAATGGACTATGAGTATATTGGACAGGGCAATGCTACCAAGGAGAATTGGGGCACCAGAGAGGATAAACAGCCTGACTCTAAAGCTCCCATCTAGTCAGATCTGGGTTCAAATTCTGCTCCACTGCTTATTAGCACAGTGTGTGGCATACTGGAGATGCTTAGTAATTATTTGCTGAATGAATGGAGACCTTGGCTAAGTAACTTGCCCTTTCTGAACCTTAGTTCCTCATCTGTAAGATAAATAGCAGTTATGATTCTTATTCACTTGTGTTGTCTCTCTGAACACCTGCATCAGTTTGTTGACCCATTCCTCCAGCCCTGTACTGTAGAGCTGCCATACTAAATAAGCCTTTTTCATTTAAGGGTCAGGAAGGGTACATATTCCCAAGGCCTTACTCTTCCTGTGTGTGTTGTCCCCTCCTTCCCCTGCCTTCTTCCTTCCCTCCTGACCCTGTTTGTTTCATTTTCTATCCTAGGCAAACTTTGGGGTATAGTTCTGTAGCTCAGAGCAAGTGTTGAAACCTCTAGTTTCAACTCTAGCACATACTCACAGATGCACAACACACTACTCCCCTCCCCAGAGGGCTGGGCCTGGGCTGCAACATGAAGCTCGACTTGATTCAAATGTCTTCAGTACCACTGACTAGAAAAACCTCCTACCTCAATCCCTATTTCCCTATGCAGAGCTAGCCAGCATGTAGATCTGGTCCCGTATGGGGACTGATCACATCAGCACCATTCCAACTCTGGAAGGTTCACTGTGAGCTAATTCCTCTGGAATATGTTAACCAGAGGGAAGGCAAATGACTTGGAGCATGTGAAGATGGTGTGATGAGGATTTTGCAGTAGGAGCCAGGAGCTGGGCAGAGCCATGTGAACCCTAACCCGTACTTCCTTGTGAACAATGACACTCACCTTCCAAATAGCTCATTGGTGGGAGAAGAGCAATCTGTGGGAGCAGAACAGAGCTTTGCTTTGTATAAAGCGAACAGCTTGCATTAACTCTCTATGGTTTATTTTTGTCTTTTGTCTCTCTTTTGGAAAGACTAATGGGCAGAAAAGATTGGATAAGGTGAAGTCTAAATTTGCTTGTATCTTCAGTCATCCTGTGACATGTGGAATGTATCTCTATATGACCAGTTTTCTCGGGTTTGATTTCTATAGGCTAAGATCTCATCTTTTGTGCTTCTAAGGGATGTGGTGAGAAAGGGAAAAAAATCCCAGTTTAAAGACTGAACAAATTCAACTAGACACGCTGGCCAAATTCCCTCATGAATGGTGGAGCTGAATCCATCTACTCCCTCCCTGCCATCCCACCTCCCCAAATCAACTGTGCCCCTGACTTTGCTCTTTGTTTTTAATAGGGTGGGACTGGGGTAAGGGGAGGCACAGTGAGGGATGCCCAGCTTTGCTGAGGCTTTTACTGCAAGAACAAATGATGATCTTGGAGACAGGTTCAAGAAAATTTTTCAGAATGCAGAAAATTCAGCAGACTTTCCACATTGACCATTGTCATGGCAACACACTATCTGATGGCAGCATGCATCACCAGGGTGAGGGGCACAGCAGCAGTATAGCAGGTTAGCCTGGCCATTTTTAGCAACATTTGGACTTCATTTCTTCTAGGTAGAGCTGAGTTTCTTTTGGTTCTGGACTCGGTGTGATCTGTTAGTTTGCATGGCTAGAACACAAGGCTTTATCAATATGAAAGGGATGGCTACATGGAAAATCTGAACATCTTTCATATTCTATAGCCATTCTACTTGCTGTCAGCCCTCCCTGGCTCCTTCTCACCTACTCTTAGCTACTTAATTTCTCTCCTTCTTCATATCAATTCTTTCCTATACAAAGCATTACCCCTCCCACCCCAAACAACCGTGACTCATCTACCAACCTCTGTATTCTCATGGTATTCTTTTCATTGTTTTCCTGTTCTCCTCATAATGTACAGAGTTCTAGAATCTTAGGGTTGGAAGGAATCTTAACAATAATTTAGTCCTGTCATCACCCTCCAAGGCAATAGCTCCTCTACAGTATGACAGCCAAGTGATTATCTAGTCTTTACTCGTATATCTCTAGTGACAAAAACCTCATTCTTTTCTGAGTAGCCTGTTCCACTTTGGATAGCTCTCATCACTGGAAAATTCTTCCTTCTACTGAATTAAACCTGTCTTTTTATAATATCTACCCATGGGTCCACCTCTGTGCCTTGAGGCAACATAGATCCTGTCTAGTCCTCTGCTCTGACAGCCTCTTGAGAAGAAATATAAAGTAGAGATCACATCTCCCTGAGTCTTCTTTCCCAGAAAGGCTCACCCAGGTTTTCCAACCAGACCTTTTGGAGCCTTGGCTCCAGTCTTCATCCTAGTCCAAATGACCTCCTGGAACATGCTCCTATTGTCTAGAGTTCATAAAAAGAAATTGATACTACATCAGCATTTCTACAGGCCACCTTGCTCTGGTGACTCAGACTGAGCTCTGTCAACTAAAACTCCTACTTCTCTTTCAGATATTATTCTTATGAGTGCCATCTTCCCATTTTGTCTGTGTCCAGTTGCTTTTGAGGACCCAGCTCCAAGTCCATATGTTTTCTCCCAGTTTAAATTCATTGTGTTATAATCAGAATATTGCTTTAACCAGTTAGGACCTTTAAAAAAAAACTTGACTTCCATGTAGCTTCTATGTCCTCTAGGATCTATTCTTTTTCCATTAGCCTTTATCCTAGCTTTTGGTCTCAAATCTTGGGCATACTCAGGTCTGCACACGAGCAAGGAGGTGAAGAGGCTTGTATAGTGTCTGTTTCTATTGCTTTGTCTATGTTCTACCAGGATTTAAAGCCTGGGGTGGGGGTGGGGTGGGGGTGGGGGTGGGGGAAAGTTGAGGGACGACATTAAGAGAAGTTTGCCTAGGATCAGTCCTGAGGGAGAAAGGAAATATGTTCTGGGTCTGAAAGGAGCTGGAGGAAACCAGGGTAGGATTGCCAGTGTTCAGCAGGGCTGGGGCACAATGAGAAGGACTGGAGAAAGGCCAATGATGGAAGGATTCTGAAGGCCTTAAAGATTGAACAAGGGAGGGGGATTTGGTTAAGAAGCGAGGTCTTGTGGGTTCAATAGACAGTAAGTGATCAGAGGGAGGCAGCTTGAAACAATAGTCAGGAGAAGCCTGAGGGTGATGGGAACTTAAAAGGGCCAATGCTGTGAGTATAATCATGTCTTTGTTTTATTGACTTAGAAAATTTTTTCTGGCCAAAGGAGTCCAGGACATGGAGTCCTTGCCTATAGACTTTGCTGTTGTCATAGACTAGGATCTGCTAGTGGATACAGGTCTTAATATTACCCATAGCAAAGACCCTCAGGACATAGCACGTTTCTTCAGACTGACTCCAGTATGACACAGACTTTCCTCTCATACTGGATTGTATTCCAACATGGGAGTCAAAGGTAGGTAGGAGAAGTGGAGCTATCTTGGTCATTTTATGAATAACTACAGGAATTTCACTCCTCTGATATTTTGTTTTCCTAACTCTGTAAATAATTTGGATTTCAAAACACACACACACACACACACACACACACACACACACACGCACGCACCCCACATGCATAAAATCAATAGGCAAACAGCTGACACTTAAAATGAATGGTAGATAGGAAGTGAGTTGTAAAAAGGTAGCTAGGACCAGGAGGGGGGCTCTATTGGACAGCTGAGGGTAGTGACCCCAACAACTAGAGGGCAGAGTAATCAGGAGGGCAATGGTCTGAGGACTGCCATTTCCTCTCTGCCCCATGGCCAGAATGATTCCTGGGTAGTCTCAGGGAAGGAAAGGAGGAAAGCGCAGCAGATCCAGCCTGCAGCTCCATCCCCAGTACTCTGGATGAGACTGGGGAACCAACTCTCAGGGCATCAGAATGCCTGACTACTCACTGCAGTTCTGTAGTCTTTCAAGGCACTGCTGGACCAAAGGATAGCCACACTAGAAGAAAATGTCAGCAAGCTCCTTTCCCACCCTGACTCTCTCAAGTCTAAATCAACTTGAACTTCTCTCATCTTAAAGAGGGTTGCACTTTTGGGCTTTTGAAAGAATAAGGGCCGCAGGGAATACTTTAGAACTTATTTTTCCTTGGTGGTACCAAAAGCTGAACCTTTTGTCCTTCTGAAGGTGACATTAGTTGGCCAAATGACAATCCCAACCAGAATGGCCTGTGTAGAATCCCAACTACAAGCTGTTAGGCCCAAAAGAGGTTTCCTTTCCAAGTCAATGAAATGATTAGCCACCAAAAGACAAATGGTACTTGAGGAAGTCCCTGCTGATAGGCCATCACAAACTGGATGGAATAAAGAGGGCAGGGTGGGGCAGGATTTTGCTCACCTTTGATGTAGTTGAGGATTTGTTGGATTCTGTGGGGCTCGTTGCGATCTGGCCGGCAGCTTGGCGTGATTTCCAGCACATAATCAGGACCATATGCTGTGAAAAACTGTAGGGAAAAGGGAAAGACCCAAAAAAACAAACTAAACCACATAAGACCTCCAAACCAAACCAAATACAAACAGAACAATCAAAAGGAACTTACCACTACTGACAAGACTAGGGAGGCCTCACTGGGCAGAGCAGGATGATACCGCAGGAAGCCCTGCCCTGGTGGCATCACTCGGCTCATTTGGACCTTCAGTAACAGTTCACTGCTAAATTCTTTAGCTTGCTGTTCAAGGGCCTCTCTGCTCAGGTCTCAAACTTTTCTCTCCAATGACAGGTCTTCCTGCTCCCCGTTCTCTAGCCACACTAGACTGCTCAGTGCCCTTGCCAGTCATCCATGCTTTTTGTATTCCTTCCCTTGGGATCTTTGCCACTGCTCTTTCCTAGGGCCTGTGAAAGCCCACCCCCAGTCCCTGCTGCCTGTGGCAAGCCTTCCAGGCACAGCTCAGATTCAAATGTCACCTCCTTCACAAAGCTGTCCCCTTATCCCCCCCCCCACCCCCCTGCAGCGTTCTGTTGGTATCTCTAATGACCCTAGTTCAAATAGACAGCGCTTGCTATCACAAGCATGTCACTTGCTGACTGCAGTGGGGGCTATGAAAATGGATAAGACTTCCCCTGGATTCTGTACTGGATGGAGATTTTTCAACATAACTGGCTCCCCCCCACCCCCAACTGTGAGCTCCCTGAAGGCAGGCAGCCCCTGTTTAGTTCATCTCCTGGAACCTTAAAGACTGACAGCTGCCTATTAGCTTTGGTTGCCTTGAATTCCCAGCCTTAGGCATGGCAAACAAGTCTAGTTTCTCTACTTTAGTTTTTTTTTCCTCTGCAGTACAGTTTATTTCTTTTTAAAATCAAAGAATCAAAGATTTGTGGATTCTATTTCTAGCTCACTAGATGACTCCTTGTGACCTTTGGTGTCACAATATCTGACTCAGCTTTTCTGTTAGGGCCCACTTGGGGAAAAACACTGTGACAAAGGGAATCATTCATTTGGGATAAGTCCCTGAATGGGAAAATATGCAAAGCTATGATTTCTGTTTAGATTTTAACAGAGATAGTATTTGTGCATACTCTCTGGAGAGAGAGCATATGGTCCTTCACATTATATGCTCTCAATAATGATATTGTTAGTTGCTAAGTAAACTAGAGAAATTCAAATTCCACAAATAAAATGGCACAGTGGACATGAAAACAAGGATTCTGATATGTGTTATGATTTTGATGCCATTCAAAGAGCTTCTAAGAAACAATCCAGAGCTACTGTCATTGTCACCAAATTGTCCTTGTTGAAAGTCTGGATGTACATCTGGTACCATGGGAGATGTTGTGGAACATCTTGAGGGATTTTAACAGGGTCTGTGCAATTCATGAGACTAACTTGATGGGGAGATGGCTTTTGCACATCCATGACTAGAAATACTACAGTTTAATTTAAATGAAAACAATCAAGACTGTGCCAATACTTCTAATGCCATTTGTATGTGTGTGCTGATCTAGAAAGGCAGAGGCTTAGTCCTTCCTGCTGGAGTTATTACTCCTTTCAGGATGCCTGACACTCTGAGTTCCGGAAATGGAATAGACCTTGCAAGAGGCCCCCTTTACCAAGCCTATATATGGAGCAGACAAGAGGCATTACCTGGGGGACATATCTAGAAGTTAACCCTCACCATGGCAGAAGAAATCTGAGAGGCCTGTATTTTTAGTCAAAAAGGGCCCCTCAGTCCCAGCCTGAGGCCCTTGTGGACTTGGCTCTGGAAGAGAGGTCTTCAAACAGGTGTAGTACCCTTTCCTGAAGCAGCCTCTTCTCCAGAAAGTGTCAAGTGGTCCACTTATCTCCTGGCTATGGAAGACAGGCTTAGAGAGCAACAGAGGAAAAGCAGCTGCAACAAAGCAGCCTCTCCAGGAGACCCAAACCCCTGGCATCAAAGTACTATAAAAAATCAGAGACAGGGTTCCTAGCTGAGCTACCAGAGAAGGAATGTTTTGTCTCCATTTGCGGAGATGACACTGCTGATCCTTTGGTTAGCAAGTCATGTTGTGGGCCTGAGGCTTTGGAATAGCACGTCCTCCGGTGAGCACCTACTGTGTGGTTACCCACATTCTCCTACTACAGTTCTCTGACTGAGAGCACACAGCTGCTAACTATATGGCCAGCTGGGGCCAGAAATGACAGCCATGTGACAGAACTCAGCTCTACTATGATTAAGCCTCTTGTCCTGGCTTCATATGCACCTGGCTCTAGCAAACAAAGCCACATGGAGGGCAAAGTCATAAGCAACCCATTCTTTGCTGAAGTAGGCTGCCTGCAGGTAACAGCCAAGTCTGGATTCCTAAACTTCTGTCCACTTTTGCCAGTCAAGTGTTATTTCCAGGTCCCACTTATTTGTGGAGTTAGGGACGCAGATGCTTTATGAAAGTCTAAGTGTTGAGAGCTAGTTTCACATGGCAGCTAGCTTATCCTGGTCTTGGGAGACTGCTTGGAGTCAAGGGAAGCACTAGGCACTAGGAAGTCACAGGTTGTATCTAAAGCAAAGGTGGTGCCTTCTTCCCTCTCTGGCACTGCCATGACATTTTTCTGCTTCTGCCTTATATTTTTATTTTTGCACTTATTAAATCTTCTCTACTGGACTATGAACTCTATAAAGGCAGAAACTTGTCATGTTCTCTTTGCATACCCTACAGAGTCTAACTGAAGTCATCACAGGTTTTTCTTAAATGTATGCTAAATTAAATTAATTCTCCAAGGGTTTATCTAGCTGTTCAGTTCATTCAAAGAGTCAACTCATAAAATGAACAACTTTTCTGGACTCTGGAGGCAGCATGATGAGGTAGAATGAGCACTAGCTTTGGAGCCTGAGGGAGCTGGAATTTGGTGCCTGGATTTAGCTGTGTGCCTCAGGTAAACTTCTTAATCTCTGTTTCGTCATTTCCATCAGAGGGATGATAAATGCTGACCTGGTTGGGCTGTTTGGAGTCAATGAGGTAACATCTATCAAAGGGCCAAACTCAGGGCCCAAGGACCCAGGTAGGACTTTGATAACTGTGAATTCCCTTCTCCTAGGGTGAGAAGCCCTTGCCTAACCCTGTCTCATTCATATCTTGAAGAATGTTGGGTGAAGCGCTTGGGGCTGAGATGGAGAAAGAGCTTGTTCCTCTGGCCAGACCAAGCCTAGCCATCTGTTTCCCTCCTCACTTGCTTAAATTATCAGTTTAGCCGAAGGCCTGTGGGGAAACAGACTTCTATCAGAGTTTCTGGTCCTATGGTCCTGCCACTTGTTACTTATAGGCGAGGTGGAGAGGAAATATGATCACAGAAGGCAAAAGAGATGTTGGGGTCGGGAGATTTGGCCAGCACTACAAATAGCTCGAGGCCCCACCCTGAAGCTGCCCTTCAGCCCCAAAGAGGAAAGGAAATGGGCACTGTAGCAATCCTATTCCCAGACAGGTGGAGCAGGGGATGAAAGAGGCCAGCCGGACCTTCAAGGGAAAACACTGGCTTTGATCTCTGAAAAGGAAGGAGGGAGGTGCTACCCCCTTACTACTCTTTTCCTCTTTCCCCTCAGTGCTCCTTTTGCTTTTTGGGTTTCAATTTAAACATTTTCCAGGGGAATATGGTACTGGGAATGGGGCAAATGGAAGGTATGAGGTGGGGTGAAGGGATGGGAGTTATAGGTAATGGTTTTCAGTCTCTTCCTGACGCAGGAATCAATGAATAAAGGAATGTAAATAGCTCAGCTCTAGTCAGTTCAGCACATGTTAATGCTCCTTTCTTGCTCAATCCTTTCCAGCTCTTGCTCACAGAATAAAAACAGCATACAATTAAATGTTTGGTCAAAAAGACCTCAGAAGAAGTCTTATGGTTGCTGTTATTCTACTGTAATCCTGTTTGGCCACAGGAAACCACCTCAACATTTAGCAAGTATATACGACGTTTCAGGCTAGGTTAGTTGCTGGGGTACAAAGACAGTAAGGCATATTCAAAAAGAGGGATTATTATAGAACAGCGTAATGAGTGATATAATAATATTACCAAAATAGAAATAATGACAGCCAACATTTATCACAGGCTTATTATGTATCACACACCTAAAATGTCTAAGCACTTTTCACAAATCAACTAACTTAATTCTAACAATCAAACTATATGGTAGGTGCTATTACTGTTTTGGATCTGAAGGACAGAATAGTCAGAAGTCACACAGCTAGTACATGAAAAGCTGAGATTTGAACTTAAGTTATTCCAGAGGTCAGTGCTAACCATATGGAGCCTATAGGCTACCCCAGGAGAAGTGACTGTGGACTGGGGTCTGGTGAAAGGAGTTTAGGGGGTGGGGCAAGGTGATCCCAACAGAACCTGGGCAAAGGTAGGGAGCAAGAGAAGGGCATGGTGGCACACGCCTGTAATCCCAGCACCCAGGAGGCTGAGGCAGGACGATTGCTATCAGTTTAAGGTCATCCTGTGCTACATAGTGAGTTCAAGCCCAGCCTGAACTACATAGTAAGAATCTGTTTCATTCCCCCCACCCCCCCAAAAATAAGATAGAGAGCAAGAAAAGAACAACACATAATTAGGTATAATTAGATGTGGCTTGGGGGTAGGGTACAGGGAGAATCAGGACACAAGGCTAGGGAGGTAGGCAAGAGTTTCATGGTAGGCCCTACTAAGGTGTTTTCCCTTATCCAAGACTAGTAGTTCCATGGGAGCAGACCACTGTTTTGTTCCCTGGTACGATGCCATTTCCCAAGACAATGCTGACACCTAGTAGGTGGTAAGTAAATATTTGTGAGGTAAAGAGTAGACTCTTGGGGTAGATACAGGAAGCTTTTAAATAAGGGAACCAACAAGTCAGCTGTGCATGTGAGAGGGCTCACTGACTGTGGTGTGGTGATTGTAGGAATGTGAGGAGGTACACCAGTTGGAAGGCCAGTGTGGGGTCCAGGGGGGTGCTCATAGGGCTAGAATGGGAACAGGTGTGGGAGGAATGGAGAGAAAAATCT